GCGCCGGGGGTGGGGGTGGGTGGTGAGGGTGGGAGGGTGCCCAGTGCATCAGCTCCCAGATACGGAGCACAGATTGGTGCTCAAGGTGGGGGAGGGAGATGACCATATTTACTTTATGCCCCGATTTATCGATGGAGCGATTTGCCCTGCCTGCTGGTGACTAAGCTGTTTGGCCCAGTCTTCTGGCTGGATGAATCGATACCTTTGAAACGCAAGGAGCTATTTACACACATCTGCATTAAACTTTCCTATTTACATGCAGTAGCCACCGTGACAACCTCAAAGTACAGTATGAACTCCAGTAATAACTAGTGTGTTTGCTGGAAGCTGTGAGAGCCTTCATTTTCGTCTTTGCCCAGGAGCACTGAGCTACGCAGATTTAACCAGGGTAGAGAGTCCTGGTGTTTGGTACCCAGGATGCAGAGGGTATTCCAGCAACTCAGATGCCATTTCTTTCTTTCTTTTTTTAGTGTAGCATCTCCGCGAGCATCGTGTAGGAGCTTCGGAGGGTTTAGCCGTCATGCATTCCTGATTAATTAATATATGGGAGGTGCCAATGTTTCTGTTCTGTTAACCGGTGTTCCCTTGCACTGGCCGTAAAAGTCCAACCAGAAGTGATGGCTCATTTTACCTAGCTGAAAGCTGAGAACAGCTTGGAAATCAATCGCCCACCTGCAGGGCCGGTATGGTTTGTGTGTATGTGTTTTGTGCAGGAAAGTTGCTTCCTGGGGTGGTTGTCTCTCCCTTCCTTCAATATTTTTTTTTCTCAGAAATGGTTATGGGGTAGGATGGAGTATGTTCTTGGGGTTCTCTTGCAAAGGCCAAAGGCCTCATGTTTCTCCAAATTGGCTTCGGCACCCAGGTCAGCCCCCCTTTCCTCCCCATCCCCTACTCTCGGCTCTGGGCCCCCTCCCACCCAGCTTGCTTTGCTTCCTTCTATAATGCAAAGTTGGTACTTAATCTTCCTCTGAGGGGGCTGTAGGGGACTAGGCAGGATCCCAGCCACCCTGGCAACTGAGAGTCTCCCTAGAGTCCCCCCAGTGGGATTTTCTGATTACAGGGAAAAACAAACAGCGCCCAGCCAGCCATTCTCTGTTCTGGGTTTCTGGGGCAACAGCCTGAGCTTCTTCTGGCTTCCCTTGTGAGATGCTGGCCGGTCTCACCCAGACTTTTGGAGTAGAGCAAGGGGAGGAGGAGGCAGGATGGAGGACAGAGAGACTGTTTGAGAGCCAGGGGAGAGTGAGCAGGGGTGGCTTGGGGAGCTGGGGCAGACCTGGCTCTCAGTGCCCGTCTGGCGTACCCAAAAGTGTTTAGTCACTGAGGCCTGACTTCTTGCCCTGTTGAGACACCCCCGGCCTGCCCTCCTGCAGGACTGAGGCACCAGGAGGGACAGTGCTGGTGACAGATGTTTGGCTCAGCAGAAAGGGAAGACGGGAAAGGAGGATGGGGAGCGAAGTTGTTGGGGCTTTGTGCAAAGCCTGGGTGTTGGAATGGAAGGCCTGTATTCCGTACATTTTTGTGGAAGGTAGAAGGTGGCTTCTGGCTTGAGTTGTGATTGTGGTGGCAGAGGTGGATATTTTGATTTAGGTAGCGAAGGAGGGGATTTGAGAGAATAATCGTGCAGGTATGTGTCTGGAGAATGAGAGTATGTAAGAAAGCTAATCGAAGCTGGTGGGAGTAACTTGAAGTGTATGCGCGCAAAGTGCGGAAGGACTTGGGATGCCATGGACAAGCAGACGCTGATGCTAGTAGACTGTAGACTCCATGAGGGCAGGGGCCATGTCTTATTTTTTTTTTTGTAAAACGTTCATTGAGTGATTTGTGGGGTAGCTACGAAGTTAGTGGTAGTTGCTGCACTCAAGACCTCCAAGTGACATACTTTTAAGATTATATTAATTGGCAACAGAATGCAACCAAATTAAACAGCAAACAGAACAAACAGCCCTAATATGGAAGTGTACTACTTTGTTTAAAATAAATATTGGTAACATGTTGTTTGCTACACAAGTCATAATCAATAATCATACATGGAACATAGACTTGGGGGCCAGTTCATAAATATCTGTGGCTCAAATATGAAATTCAGATGTATTATGTGTGAAATTTGCTACTGATCACCCAGTGTGAGGATCAGGGAACAGGCCTTCTGAGGGAATTTGGTACTGAGGATAGTCTGAAAACATACTGTTAATATTTCTACTTCTGGGGGTTGTGGGGGGGGGCGGGAAGAGATTAACCAATGAGCTTAATAGTGTATATGCATAGCCAATAGTGCAGGGAAGGCCTGGGGAGGGGAAGGAAGTGGGGTGGGAGGGGTGAGTGGGGGGGGGATATCTGTAATACTTTCAACAGTAAAGATCCCAGGTACATGCCCTTGACCGGAATCGAACCTGGGACCTTTCAGTCCGCAAGCCGACGCTCTATCCACTGAGCCAAACCGGTTTCGGCTTGATTTCTGATTTTATTAGACATTTTCATACTCTGCCTAAAGCTCACCTTATTTGGAAATTCATCCCTAGTAAGAGATGGGGTGAGGTTCTGACATGTATGAGGTTGTCCATAGTGTTCATTGCTTAGTAATAAAGGATTTAAAAGTTCAATATTTTTTGTTTTTTAAGGGCATAACAATAGAAGTGAATATGAAAATGTCTAGAGCCAAAAAACCCCCCAAAACCCCAGATGATCTGTGGAATGCCTTAATTCACTCACATTTTATAAATATTTATGGAGCCTCTGGAATAAAATGAAGAAAAGCACACAGTTCCGCCTTTAAAGAAGTCCTAGTCTCATATGATAAATGGATGTGCTGGTAGTTATAGCTGGTGTGAGAGATGCAGTGTAATGGCTGGAAGGACCTAATAGTAAAAAAACCCAGAGGAGAGTCTAATTAACTTGGATAGAGAAGGGCAGGTATGGGGGGTCCTGAAAGGTTTCTGAGGGGGAAGTGCCACTTGAGGTGAGATTTAAAGAGCCTGATGGAATTAGGGGGAAAGGGAAAGCCATTTCAGAGGGAGGGCTGGGAACTACAGGAACAAAGATAGGGGGGATGTGTCGCTAAAGCATGGGGTTTGGGATAGCAGGAACTATGAAGGTGCTCGCGTGCAATACTGAGGAGATTGGACTATTTATACTTAAGTGGCGGGGAACAGCTGAAAGATTTTTAACCCGTGCAGTGACATCATCAGGTTTGCATTTCAGAGAGTCTTCTTGGTGATGGTGTCATATGTCGGACACTTTATGTTTTTAAAAGTGCTTTTGCATTTATTATAGTTTCTTCATTTTAAAGTCGTCGAGTATAACATATGCCTCTCCTATCTCTTAGAGGTGTCAATGTGAGAGTAAGATAGAAGAATGTACGGAAATGCCCATTGTATAATGCCTTTTACATAAAAACACTACGGATCTGCTGTTCTTAGCTACAGGATATCTTAAATTGAATTTTTCAGTCTCCCAGTGCCTATGAGGGTACATGGTTTATCACTGACAATGCTATATTAAAATACAGATTTTTTTTTTGATCTCATGTGAATTCACTGAAATTGGAGGGTGGTAAGCAGAGTCAGGTAAACGCATCCAGCCAGGAAGTGGTAGAGCTAGGATCTGAATTCAGGCAGGCTTGACTCCAGAGGCCCTGCTTCCCTGAGGAATACACTATTATTATCAGCAGTTTGTCCCAAAATTGCCAATTCCAAGAACGCACGGGGCGAAGGCTGTTTTTGCAGACAACCCTCCATGCTGCTTCTGTTCATTTTGACTGGCTCCTTAAATGGACATTTCACTTCATTTAA